CAGGCAGACAGCACTCACAGAATAAAATTCTGAAGTGAACTTCTAATCACAGAATTTTCCCACTGACCCTGATATTCTCTCTTTTGAAATATATTCTATGTACTCTCATTCCTAAGGATTAATTCAGCATGGCCTAGCTAGGAACACCTCTGCTAGATGAGGATTTTGGTCACTCACAATGAGCTCAGGAATGCAACAAAACTTCCACTTCAGAAATGAGACTGCAGCTGCCAGGGCCACTCCTTCCCAGCGGGCAGTTCCTAGCAAGTGTTAATCCCTTGGCAACCGCATTGGGAAGAGAAAGTGCTGGCCTGTGTTCACCATTGAAGCAGAAGAAGGCACTCATGGGATACAGAGTATTAGGAATTTGAAATATGGATTGGGCTTCAGCTGTCAGTTCGGACAAATGCAAGATCCTATGGGGTGAAGTACACACACATTAGAAGTAGTCCATTGTTACCATGGCTTTATTATCTGGTTAAAGATAAAGCAACACAAGGTCACAAGGTGATGTCAAACCGTGCTCTGGATCATTGCTTCAGGTTCATTGGGAAGTCTTCATATGGGTGGAGGGACATAAATGACAGGTGCAGATGGGATATGGGAGGTCGCAAAGGAAATGGACAGAGGAGGTGATAAGCCAGGGTGAATCATGTCTAGAGGGAACACTTTGTTGTTTCATTCTTTTCTTTCCTTCCACTAGCCTTGAGAAGGAAAATTTTGATGTCTGGACCAAGGTAGTGAGACTCAATGAAGAGCTGGAGAAGGAGAAGAAGTTATTTGCAGCCTTGGAAATCAGCCTCCAAAATGCAGAGCGCTCCCGGGACGATGTTGAGAGGAGAAACAAGGCATTGGAAGAAGAAGTTAAGCAATTTGTTCGATCCATGAAGGAACCCAAGACTGATGAATGAAGTTCCCAGGAGAACTACAGAAACAGGCTGCAGTGGCCCCAATCTTCTCCCTTTCTCTGCGCCACATGGTGACTGGGAAGTAAAATTACTCCCAAAAGGGAGAGGATGTTTGGGGGCAAACAACGCATTTCTGGAAAATCAACCAGTGGCGTTTGCAGGAAGAGGAGGGTGAGCAGGGACACATTTGACAGCATGACCTCCCTGGGTTTATCTTCAAAAGAATTGCGTCATTCCACCGTGCTCTCGGATTTAGAAAATAGATCCTTCCATAGCTGGATGACTATGTCGAGAGGAGACATCTGAGACAGACCACATCTCAGCACCTGAGCAGCAGGCTGGCTCCATGGAGGCTCCATGAGACACTGGCTTTTTGTTTTCTGAGTGAAGCAGCTCCAGTAGTTGGATGGCCTCGGGATAACTCTGAGCATAGAGCAGAAGACAACTGACTTTTAAAAGCTCGCCCACCATGGGCCATGTTTTAGGAGGGCTGCAGCTGCTAAAGACAGAGCCTCATTCTGCCACCCCCACCACAATGAACACTCTCCAGGAGTTGGAAACTCAAAGATATTATTAGACTAAGACAAAATAAGCGATAAACTGTATTTATAAAAGTAAAGTCAACATGAAAATTATATTCCAATAAAGTAAAAGGGAAAAGCAGAGCTATTGGTAATGCATACAATGCTTTTGTGAAGATTTATAAAATGTGCACCCTTCTCTGGGTACCAGGCTTGGCGAGCAGGGTACAGGCTGGCTTGTAGGCCCTACTTGCCTATCACTCATCATAGTTGTGTATGATGGGCTTGGAAACAGGCCATGATGTGACTCCTGGTTGGGACTAGAGCTAGTAATAATCAGGTAATACATTTTCTGTTTGATTGTGAAAATTATTTTGCCTTTTACAGAGACATGAGCATTAGAGATTAGCTAGGGAAAGGAGCTTTCCTAGCAAATAGCTGAGTTTTCTGCTTCTCCGTTAAGCCCCTAAGACTAACTAGGTAGGTCTAAGGGTCATTGCTGGTATATTTTGTTGCCATAGATGGTCCCTGAGCTGATCATCCACCACCCCATTTTAGGTATCTTTATCTATTAATCATGTACCTGTACTGCTGTATGGCAATGTCATATCTGCCATAAAATATACAAGATAAATTGAATAAGGCTAAGATAAATACGAGCAGAAATATAGGTTCTCACTGTACTTTCTGCTCAGGATACCACTGGCCCATTTTCCCAGCAGGCATTACCTATACAGTTTTACATTTTTCATTCCATGACACCCATATATTTTACTTGAACTCTTGAAGCCACGCAGCTTACTAATTTATTTGGAATCTATGGTGCCCACATTGAGAGTTCAGCCTTGCCGAGCATATGTGTCTTCATCATTCCTTCTCCCTTGTTCTCACTTTTTTTCCTTCTTATTTTCTTCACTCTGCCTATTTCCTCTCTTCCTATGGCCGTGGTGTATTACCCACAGTGTAAGAGGGACATACAATGTGTGTGTGTGTGTGTGTGTGTGTGTGAGTATTTCTCAGTCCTGCTACTCAAGCCTTCCTCCCCCTTCCTTGTCCAATCCCCTCTAATGAAGAGCAGAGCAATACCCTCTACTTGCACAAGTTTTGGGGGAAGTGGATTTGGAACATTATTAAGTAATGCTATGTTTGATTTCTTGGAGTTTACTTGTTTTTGCCAAACAGGAAATAACTTACTGAACACCTAGTTTACACTGACAAGTGTCTGCAGTTCTGCCAGGTTCTCCGGTAGGTACCTCATACCAACTCTTTGGGACTGGAATAGAAAGAATAGAAGTAGCCGTCTCTGCTGGAAGGCACAAAAGGAACCCTGGGGTCTGTTTGGAGGTGAGTATTGCACGATCTCGCTGGGATTGGAGAGAGAGCTCAGGCTGAGTGGAGTGCCACATTTGGATCCCAGGTCCCTCCGGGTCACACATAACTCTCATTGTAATCCTTCCACCAGCACTATGAGATTAAGGAGCAGCCATTCCCACTTCAGAAGCTGGAACTGACACTCCTCTTTGTGAGCAAGAGTGACCTGACTTACTTCTCTTGTCACCTCTTGGTCTTATGCCACTCTCCACCTATTGAGACCACATGAAATGGAGTTTTTCCAAGACCAATGGCCCTTGTGACTCCTAGGAACAGCCAGAAAGGAGATCTGGATCTGATGCCTATCTTCAGGGCTCCAAAAGTTTATACGTGAGCTGTATGCAGGGTAGCTCCAGTTCTCCTCAGGGACAAGGTGCTAGTTTCTGAAAGGCAGACCCAGAGTCTGAGTGGGACCCAGGGGCTCCCACATTGACTTTAAAATCCCTTCCATGGGCAGGACTCTGCTCGATCTGCCTTTCCCAGCCACCCCCTGCCTCCCCCTCCTAACCCCCACCCGCAACACATTCATACCTTATTGCTTTTCTTGCTGCACAGATACTGAGGACTCAAAAGCTCCACTAAGCACTTTAAAACTCCTGGCCTCTTCCTACCAGGACCCTTTATTTTTGTAAGCACAGCAAGTACCAGAGCAGTTCCCCCTGAGTTTGAAGCAAATCTGACTGTTCTCCAGCAGGTTTGTCCACCGAGCAGGGCATTTTTTTTTCCTTTTTTTTTTTTTT